CAGGTCATCCCCATAACCCGTCCGCAATGAGTGCCAAATTACCAATTCTCGATACCCCGCTAGTATGAGGCAACGTTCACCGTAGGGTTCCCTATGTACTCGGTCCGTCCACCATCTCTTATGATATCCAGTAACATTCATCCTTTCACTTAATCAAACAATCTCTTGTTTACATTTAATTTCTAGTTTTCCAAATTTAACTGTAAATCACGTAAAACATGCAATACATGCATAAAAAAAACACAATTGAGTTATCACACCAATTTCAATGTATTATTATGCATTCAAACTGTAAAATTAATCAATCAGTTAAACATGACAAACAGTAATAAATAATCAGTTCTGACTCCATTAGTAATATGTAATTAATTATGAATATTTTTTAATTTATACAAAAGACCACATTATTTATAATTAAACTTTAATTTCATAACAAGGAATAAGGTGAGGGATTCTTATTTAAATTGATATCTGGAATGCTAAACTTTCAGTTACACCTATTGACAATATTTGGGTTTCTTGAATTTTTTTTAGGGATTAAAACACACTTCAAGTACCTACAAATACCCCCAAAAGCCCAAAATCAGTATTAGAAACCATTTTTGGCCAATTCTGGAATTCCAGCATGGCGGCTCCGCTGTGCTTCGGCGACGACATCGTCGCCCTAGGGCTGCAGTTTGCCTCGGATTGGCCGTTTTCAATCGATTTCAGCCAGTTTTGTATCCATCCATGTGATAAAACACGTTAAGGAGTTTCGGTTGACCGAAAAAAGTCGAAAAACTAAAGCTTACCAGTGGTGGAATTTTCCGGTGCAGCAGGTTCGCTGGCTCACCTTCATTGTTGGGTGTTTTGCTTCGATCAACTTGTAGAAAAAGGAATGGTGATTACAATGGTGAAAAAATTACACGAAACCGGAATCGGGAAGGGCCTCATCGAAAGCGGTTTTTTTTTTCTCACGACGGTGATGTCGGGCTTTACCTGCAGTTTCTAGCTTATCTGTCAGTCCTTTTGCTCCGATTTGGCCATGGATGTGTTCAAAATTAAATTTTGAATGAATAAAATCTTTTGGTAGTCGGAAGTGGCTCCAGCGCGGCGGCACGCGATGGTCGACTCCCTTCCCAACAACTGACTCTTCTTCTCCAGCGGAGGTGGTCTGACGGCTAGAGTTAGGGTTTGGTGTGAATATGGGTATTTATATCCGTCTTCTTTTTAATTTGGACCGTCTATCGCATTTGATCTGGACCGTCCGATCGCGTTTAAAGAGGAAGTGAATCTGGACCGTTTATCGCAATTTGATATAGATAATCTGATCGCATTTAAATAAGAAGCACTGTTCATCGCAATTTGATCTGAACTGTCTGATCGAGTTTAAAGGGGGAACGGATCTGAACCGTTCGTACGCGTAGGAACAAATCCAAACCATCTGATCGTTGGCACGCGGATCACCAGTGTGGCCTCCCACATAGCACCGCGTCAGCGTGCCTTGCCACACGGCGTTCTTCGGTTCGTCGTGGCCGTTGACTGGGCGTCTTACGTGATACAATTTTTTTAAATTGCGTTTTGACATCCAATTTTCGATTTTTCTTTCAAAAACACCTCTAAAACCCAAATTTTTACCTAATTTTTCCAAAATTATTTTCAATTTCATCCCAACAACTGACTCTTCTTCTCCAGCGGAGGTGGTCTGACGGCTAGAGTTAGGGTTTGGTGTGAAGATGGGTATTTATATCCGTCTTCTTTTAATTTGGACCGTCTATCGCATTTGATCTGGACCGTCCGATCGCGTTTAAAGAGGAAGTGAATCTGGACCGTTTATCGCAATTTGATATAGATAATCTGATCGCATTTAAATAAGAAGCAGATCTAGACCGTTCATCGCAATTTGATCTGAATTGTCTGATCGAGTTTAAAGGGGGAACGGATCTGAACCGTTCGTACGCACAGGAACAAATCCAAACCATCTGATCGTTGGCACGCGGATCACCAGTGTGGCCTCCCACATAGCACCGCGTCAGCGTGCCTTACCACATGGCGTTCTTCGATTCGTCGTGGCCGTTGATTGGGCGTCTTACGTGGTACAATTTTTTTAAATTACGTTTTGACATCCAATTTTCGATTTTTCTTTCAAAAACACCTTTAGAACCCAAATTTTTACCTAATTTTTCCAAAATTATTTTCAATTTCATCCTCCACCTTTTTTTTTTCATTTTTACATTAAATAAAAATTTAAAAATTTAAAAATTATTTTTATACATTAATTTTAAATATATTAAAATTAGTTAAGGG